ATTCGGCAAATGTGTCGAAAATAGCTGGGCTACTTTTGGACCCAAAAGTTAAACGGGAGAAAAAAATAGTAGTTCCCGGCCCACTTGATTCCATGCAGGTGCCACAGTGTGGGGTGGATTGGTAGCAATTTAAAGGCATTAGTAATATCGGTCTTACTAAGCCAGGCTCAGACCCCTGCTTGTATGATCGCTGTAATGGAGTGATCTATGGTGGTGTATTGCAGGGAGAATTCCTCGGAGGGTATGAGGGAATTAAGTCTGGGGTTGGCCGATGAGTGTAGTGCAGACAAGTCAAGACATGATGAGTCTCTGTTTAAGGGAAGATTTCCCTGTGACAATACCAATGGGGTTAGTGCGCCATTCTTTGAATGGAGGAGCTTTGAAAGGCCCCAATACGAAACCCTCAGCAACTTCTTGGGCTATGAGAGTGTCAACAGCTGTGGGATTATGTTGTGCGGATTGTAGATTAGGGCATTCCAGAGTCCCGGATGGTATGTGTAGAATACCCGTGTGGAAGTCTTCTGTTAAACCAGAGATAAGAAAGTCCAACAAGTGTTTAGACGGGTGATGTGGCATAAATGCAGTAAATACCGGCATATTAATGGACGTTAGGTAAGTCTTAGAATACATTTTATTTGGACACATGGTTTTTGCATGTGCCCTAAAACATTTTAAACAGATATGCAATAATCTGCAACCGCTATAATTACAAGACACAACATTGAAATTGTTACATATCTGGGACTTGCCCAGAAACTTGATTGGGCGTCCCAGTTTGTCTCTTGTCAATTTCTCTGGAACACCAGAGGAACTAGCTCCTTGCGTGGAGCCATGTTCGTCAGCCGTGTTGGGACAGAAATTTGTCGTATGGGCTGTAGAGGAGCAGTATGCACAAGCCGGTGTTCTTAGACCTGCAAAGTGTCTGCAAAATATGACGGTATCAATCCTTCCCCATACTGGGAGAAGGCTCCAGACACTTTTGCAGAAAAAGACCTATGGTAGTCATAAAAGGCTGAACCACCATATTTGTTGCCCAGGTCTACCAGCTTGTGCATATAAAGATCAAACTCTTCTATTGGGATAGACCGCACAGATGACATCCCGGTAAATACCAAAGGCCAGTACAAACTCGGGTATAGTCAGTTTCCTGTTTAGGCGGGCGTCCCTAGATCTGACAACAACAGACACATCATCATAAGCATAGGTCTTATTTTCCACAATATCCTGGGAGGCAATCAGCAGGGAAGCTAGGCTGACATATTTACCTTCCAGGATATCTCTTTTAATGTGCTCAGGGATCATATGAGCAGGGCTAACTTCCTGGTCCACTTTAACTAATATACTGATTAGCCGAATGACGTACGAAAAGAAAACCGCGAACGGCTTGTTCAATTTGTGACATAACAGGGAAAACCGTAAAGCGAGGACCCGTGCTGTACCGTACGCCGTGGGAACCGATCCTGGCGTGACAGGCAGGTCTAA